CTCCCGGTCTTCTTCAGTCTTCTTTCACATGTGCAATCTCTTTCTTCTCAGAATTATCTCATCTCTTATTGGGATACATATTCTTCTTCTCTGGGCATTCATTCTTCTAATGTCTAAATTTCTTGCAATATGCATACTGGTTTTTGTGCAGTTTGGTTTTTCCTTGGTTCTGACTCCTTTTCTGGTTATTCTCTTTTACATTTTTTTCTACTAATGYTACTAACTTCTTGACTCCTTCTTTATATTTTGCTTTTCTGTTACTGTACACCTTCCAATCTTCATTTAATAATACTTCTAAATTCCTGCTCTCAGTTGACTGCACTTTCTGGAGTTTGCATCTAAAGTCCTACTGTGATTGGCCTAAAAAGAGAGACACTAGTTGTTGTATCCTACCTCTGACCCAGGGTTCAGTGCTGTGCTTTGGCGCATAGCATCTTTTAATCGTTCTAGAAAGTCAGTAGGAGACTCGGAGGGGCCCTGTTTGATTGCATACAGTGCTGACTAATTAATGGTTTTCGGCATTGCCTTTTCCATGGCTTTTACTATCTACTCTTGATAAGCCTGTAGTTTAGCCATTTCAGCTGTTTTATTTGGATCTTATTTCGGGTCTTGGAGTGGCAAATATTCTTTGTGATCCTCTTGTCGTACTTTATGATAATTTTCAGCCAAATCTTGTGTTGTTTCCAAAATTAATTGTTTTTCAGTTTCTGTTACAGCTTCTAATAACAACTGAATATTATTCTAATYGGGATTATGTTGTTTCATTATAAAACGTAAATGTTTACTTACGATTATTGGATCGGTTCAATAATCTTTTGCAAACCTTTTTCAAGCTTTTATGTCAATAGTAGAAAAAGGTACCTTGATCAGCATTGTATTGCCTTCAGGCCCTACTGCCTCCCGTAGGGGTGCTTGCAGGACCTGCCCTYGCTTCTCCCGTGTTCTGGCAGAGACCGGGCTCCCTGCTGGAGACRGCATGTCTTCTGAGTCTGCCTCATCTTCTTGCTTTCTAGGAGGGGGCTTAAGAAAATCAGTTAATTCTTGTTCTTGTGCTGCTGCCTGATAAACCTTGTCTGGTTTAGTACATCTTTGACTTATACTGCATGCTGAACAGCACCTCTTAAGTCTGCTTTTAATAGCTTTATTTTTTCTTTCTAAAGCCAGTACTAYGGGGTCCTGTGGTGGCACCATCTCACAGTCCCTCTGCCACTCAGGGTGATTTCGGAGAGTGAAAAACATATCTGCGTAGGAGACTTCGTCCCACTTTCCCTCTCTTCTCAAGAACAGCATTAACTGCAGGAGGGTTTTATAATCTAAAGATCCAAAGAGTGGCTATTTTTCTCTACTATCTAATTTATATAAAGGCCACTAATTATTACAATACTTAATAAGAACTTTCTTACTTTMTGTTTTTTTTGTTCTAACTATTTCTTTTTAGTGTACTAATATATACTTAAGGGGGGGTTTTGCCATTATTTCTTTACTTTGACTATTTTTCATTTTATTCTAGTGTTCTATTACTCACTCTAGATCACTTGTATTTCACTGACTACTTTTTGTGTACTTTTTATCTCTTCGGGTAAAACCACTGGAGTGGAGGATGGATGTTTTTAGGTTATATTGTTTTCTTCCCGTTTTTCCCCCCCCTCCCCGTTCAACCGCTGCAGCTTAAATTATCACACACAGCATGTGATCACACGACACACAGTCACAGCAAACATGCATTACAAAAATAAAGAAGAAATGTAATTTACTTCCTGAATCCGGGTTCTCGGCACAGCAACTTCCTGGTTCCGGTCTGTGCTTCACTTCCGGGATCCGGGTCTGCACACACTCACACACACTCAGTCGCGGAGCTCCATACAAGCACACAACCAGGTTCTGCCTATCCTTTCTCCTGCTTCCTAATACAGTCACTGGCAGGCTTGTACTCAGGTAACAGCAGAACTTTTTGCTCYGGCCCCACTTGGCAGACCGTTGYGAAAAACCGTTCTTGGTCAGCATCTTTGCTGGTGCTTGCAAGCCCCCTCAGGGTCCGTTGTGCGCCAGGCRTCCTCAGCGTCTTACCAACTCCTGGCTACGCGTACGCCCTGTAGACTTCCTGATAAATATATGATAAACATACCGTTCTTGTGAAGCGCCAGTGGGTACTTGCTCTGCCTGGGCGGTGGACGTACCAGAAGCGGAGTTCTTCCAGGAAAAAAAGACTTGGGGCGCGCCAAAGAGTCTCGGTTCTGGACAGCCCCCGCACCGGACAGAGCTTCTYCTGCCTGGCTCGCCAAAATGATTCRAAAAWGATCTGAGCAAGACTCCRCAACTTATATAATTTTAAGTTGTGAAGTAGGTATGTTTATTGCAGCGCTGGGTGAGCRGGAGGTACTCCTCWAAGCCRCCCACMCCGCAGCACGGGCACCGCTTGGTATATATCAGGTTACATGTTACACATTCACCGAGTTTCGCAATTCGCCTATACATATGCATGACCTGTCCTCGCTTTGTATTATAATGAGTTTAAAAGTCATTTCCATGCGCTCACGCCTGCGCCGTGTTATCTGGTAGTGGGCTCCGGGGGTCCAGGAGGAAGTAAAATACTCATCCTCTTGTCTTGAACTTTTCACCTTTCTCTTTTGCGCATGCTCTCTGGGTCCCTGGCCCAAGTCCAAACCAACAACTCTGGTTTTGACCAGAGCAGGGGTTCCACGCGTAAGGGCTGGGTCACAGTCCCTGCTTTTGTCAATAATCTTTTACTTTTCATTCTGCTTTGACAAACACAATCAATGTTAAGTGAGCAATATACATTGTCTAGCAAGCAGTTTCTAACAAGTTACCCTGTAACTTCTACATTTCCTGCATCAATACCTATGGCCCCACCTTAACGGTCTGGCAAGGCGCTTGGAGAGAGTCCCTTTTTTGTGTGATGGGGGGGCGGGATTTKGGAGTTTTTCGCTGCTTCGCTGGGAGAAGGGAGTTCTCGCTGGCTGCTACGGAGAAAGCTGGCCGGCCCTTTTCTGCAGAGACCAGCACCCCTGCTATTTGAGTTCCTGCTTGCTGCACCGTGGTTTTTTTCTCTCCTGTGCCTTGCYGSGGATTCCAGCTTCAGGGGTGGGCTCTGCTCCATCCCGTTTCGCAGCCGCGGGATTTCTGCCTGTCTCTTTACTGTCCTGGATTTCTTGCTGTCCAGAGGAGAACCAAGATCAGCGTTTCCACTGTGAGTTTTGCAGAGAAACTTTTYTCCATCCACCTCTGCCATTTTTTTGTCAATCATTGGCGACACGGGTGATCTGAGCCAGCCAGGACCCATGCCACCGCGTCCTCTGCAGCCACCGGAGAATTGCTGCACCCCCACCCTGCCCAGCCGGGAGCCAACAGCGCCCCTGCCAACGGAACTGTAACTGCACCAAAGGGGAGGCTGTGTCTCTGTAAGGCTGTCACTGGGATTGGGACTGGGATGGTTGTTGCTATTGTTATTGTTACTTGTTTCACCTAGTTATATATATTAGTAAAAACTGTTATTCCCTTTTACCCATATTCTTGCCTGAAAGCCCGTGATTTTTCAAAGCTATAATAATTTGGAGGGAAGGGGGGTCATATCCACCACTCCAAAGGGCGTCCCTGCCTTCATTGGCAAACACCTGTCTTTCAAACCAAGACAGTGACCTAGACTGAAAAGTGAAATTTGTAGMTGGTAGATGTTTCATGTGAAAGAAGACCCAGTTACCGCTTTAAAATGTGTGAATCTGCCCTGTCCCTGGAAACGATTGAGCCAGCCTATTGACTATGTTTTGTTGTTTAAATAAATGTCAGATATATTATATCCAAGTAAAAAGATCTATCTGTCTGCAGGCAGAAGAAATTGCTTTTTTACCATGAAAAGATGAATACGTTTGATGGTGGATGGGTATGGTTAATGAATGTAGTTATAGAGCCCAAAGCAGAGTATTTTGAGTACTTTAATGAAGCATGAAATTTGGACTACACAAAGTTGTTTCGAATACAACCCAATGATGTAAAGATATCATTTATAAGAGCTTATGTTTAAGATAAAATATTAACATGACATGTAAGTGATAATTAAGCATAACAGACCAACATAACACACTGGAATTTTTTGTTTTCTTGGAAGATGTATGTGTTCATCACTGCTCTTTTTATTAATAGAAAGAGAAACAAAAATAGAAAGTTACAATGACAGATTTAACACAAGCCAAGAAAATTTAAAATTACCCTAGAGAAAACAAGGCTTAACACAAATAAAATAATTAAGTATGCCCATTACTGATATAAGACCCATAATTAAGCTTATTTATGTCTGACTTAAGGCTTATAGTTAAACATACTCATAACTGGCTTTTATGCCAGTGGAAATTGTATCAGGCTCTTAGGAAACACTAATGGTTCTGTCACACCAGGGAGCAGAAGGGCTGGCTCCTAATTTAAAATTACCTGTTTTTTAAGGGAGGCAGAGCTGTATCGAGCCCTATTCACCTGCATGGATGGGGCTGTGAGAGAACTCCCTGTGCATGGCTGGGCATTGCTGGGATGGTCCCCACTGCAGGGCAGCTCAGGGGCAGGGGCTGTTCTCCTGGCTTCTCTCTGCATTCTCCCTCCTGCCAGTCTCAGGGCTTTCTCATGCCCCTGCAGACACAGCCAGGAAAGCTGGAATAAGTCACAGATCCAGGCATGAGTAAACCACTAGGATCAAAACTTTCCAAAGAAACTGGCCAGGAGAGCTACATAGAGAGCCTAATTCCTCAAAAGACTGAAACATTCCACCTCCAGGTATCCATGTGAATATCCAAACTGCTTGAAAATGGGTTACAGACTATTCTAGTCTCAGCATTACCTACTCCTCACCTCAGTTTTACAAAGACTGCTTTTCACATGCCTGGCACCCAGATGCCCTTAGCTATCGCAGCAGTGAGGGCTCCATAAGCATAACTACAAAAGAACCTATCGGTTGTATATCTGCCTATACCTCCTGTATTCTCAGTTYGTTTACTCTGCATCCATGTGATGCTTTGTAATCACATTTTAACATTAAGTTTTTATAGGCATTTTAATGAATATCGAAAAAAACAACAGTCACTACTTTTGTCTTGCACATGGAATGATAGTTACTTGCCTTGTAAAAAAGCACTGCCATGTTTTAAAGAACCCTCCTGAGCACATTTGTGCCAAATATTTATTTCTGAAAAATGTAAATGTGTCATCCATGCAGTTTAGTCTTGTAACTTTACAGCCTGTTTCAATTTGTATATGTTCCCACTGATCACTCCTACTACATCTGCTTTAGTGAACTAATATAATAAAAAGTATTATCCAAACTATCCATTCATCTGCTCTTCTTTTCTTTGTTCCTTCCCTCTTCAGCAGGATTGATAGCTCTAACCAGTAAATGCAGATATACATTTTATGGCTTAATGCTGTGAGAACAGGGATGCTATTAAAAACACTCCAAAGTGATTAACATGCATCTTGGAATTAAGATTGCAGTCACTGAAAGAGTATACAAGGAAAATGGATTTATAAAATCCTACAGGCCTAATTAGATGGAGGGGTATTGTGAAACTTCTGTTCAGATGCATTAAGGTATTAGGTGATTTACCCTGRTATTTGATAGAGTGACTTTTATATTGCATCTTTTGTGAAATGCCACATCCCATTCTCCACAGCCACGAACAGAATCTTCAAATATTCTTGGGGGTAAGGCATTCCTTGGTTTGAGAAATAAGTGCAAATTCTGCAGTGCAAGTGTTAACAGGTAGGATCACCCAGGATTGCACTGGGGAAGGCCTTTTCATCACCACACACCTAACTTGTGTTTCTGCTTTATATCCTCAGGGTAAATGTGAAATCCTGCTCTTTYCCCCCCTCCACCTTTTTGCAGGGGGATACTTCTTTGAAATCTCTGTATAAACAGCAGAGAAAAAAGGCCTTATTTTAGAGGGAAGAGAAATTGTATTGACTTTGAAAATGGAGAGGAGCATAGTCTGGAGGAGCAAACAGCAGACCTGAAGAAATCACAAATKCTTTCTACCCTAATGCATATACAGATACAAACCAATCAAACAAAAATGAGATTGTGCAGCTAATAAAATCAATCAGGCCAGGCTGGCTAGAGCCATTTCCAGATGGCCATGGAGAGTTCCTCATCATTCCTGAATGGTTATTGACGAATATGTACCAACACTTGATGTCTCTTGGGAAGGTGTTTAATTTGTCTCCAAATCGTCTGTCTAACTCCCAGGTGGCTGTTTATCTTGTATCAGTATGTTTTTCCAATCGTTAAAGGATTCCTTCCTTGTTTGCCTAGTTTTTCCTCTTTCTTTGCAGATTGTTTATCTCCAGTTTTCTCACTCTAGGGGAGCATGTGTGTAATTTGTTTGTCAGTAATAAATAATGAACACATTTYATTGTGTGTTACTAGTGTTTTGGTGTACAACAGAAGTAAAAACTTTATAAAACTGCAAATTCACTGAATGTGCATAAATACCAATGGGCACTTGGCCTTTGTATTTCTATTTGCCTATTTTTTGTATATTTTGTACTTCTGTACTTATACTTTTATGTTCCTTCAGTTATAAGTAAATAGCATAAATACATATGCATACATATATTCAGTACATAAATTACATGTTGGCTATGTTTGAACTTTTTCTGGGTAGAGAAAAGACAATTCTGGTTATTTCACAAAATCAAGGAATGACTCAAACTTTTGCCTTCAACATCAGATCCCTGTAATTTGGTATAATCTAACATTTTACTGTGTCCCTGGCTCTCAGCCTGAAAAAAAAATAATCTTGGTTCCTCTATTCATGCATGTACTGAATACCTTCTGATTTCTTCCTTGTAAAGTCTGTCTTCAGTGAAGGCTTGAACTCGCCTATCTGTCTCTTTTAAGTAGTCTTGTGGGATCAACCCCAGTTACTTTTGTTCACTGATGGCAGTGCCTTGGTTTCACCTATGATTTCCTTGAGGTAGTCATGCAGACTATCCTGTAACCCTGTGAGAAAGCTGCAGTTCTCTTTCTGCTGAGGCTCTGTGACACAGATCGGACAGGAATGTCCAGGGGCTTCTTCAAGTCAGTCAGGGAGCAGTGCAGCAAAATTTATAACAGACTCAAGACTGCTACATTGTCAAACATAAGCAAAGATACCAGACACTGTCCCATGGGGTTTAGCCTGAAGGCTGGAATGGTGTAAAATACCAGCATCATCAATTTTGTGATTCTGTACTAGG